GGTGTGAGGGCGTGGCCTCAACTGTGGATGAGGGGCGAGAGGGCGTGGTCTGAGCTGTGCCTGGGTGAGGGGCGTGAGGGCGTGGTCTGAACTGTACCTGGATGAGGGGCGTGAGGGCGTGGCCTCAACTGTGGATGAGGAGCGCGAGGGCGTGGCCTGAGCTGTGTCCGGGCGAGGGCCGTGAGGGCGTGGACTGAACTGTGTCCGGATGAGGGGCGTGAGGGCGTGGCCTGAGCTGTGTCCGGATGAGGGGCGTGAGGGCGTGGTCTGAACTGTGCCTGGGTGAGGGGCGTGAGGGCGTGGCCTCAACTGTGGATGAGGAGCGCGAGGGCGTGGCCTGAGCTGTGTCCGGGTGAGGGGCGTGAGGGCGTGGACTGAACTGTGTCCGGATGAGGGGCGTGAGGGCGTGGCCTGAGCTGTGTCCGGATGAGGGGCGTGAGGGCGTGGCCTGAGCTGTGTCCGGATGAGGGGCGTGAGGGCGTGGACTGAGCTGTGTCCGGATGAGGGGCGTGAGGGCGTGGCCTGAGCTGTGTCCGGATGAGGGGCGTGAGGGCGTGGTCTGAACTGTGCCTGGATGAGGGGCGTGAGGGCGTGGCCTCAACTGTGGATGAGGGGCGTGAGGGCGTGGTCTGAACTGTGTCCGGATGAGGGGCGTGAGGGCGTGACCTGAGCTGTGTCCGGGTGAGGGGCGTGAGGGCGTGGACTGAGCTGTGTCCGGGTGAGGGCGTGGCCTGAGCTGTGTCCGGGTGAGGGGCGTGAGGGCGTGGCCTGAGCTGTGTCCGGGTGAGGGGCGTGAGGGCGTGGCCTGAGCTGTGTCCGGGTGAGGGGCGTGAGGGCGTGGACTGAACTGTGCCCGGGTGAGGGGCGTGAGGGCGTGGCCTCAACTGTGGATGAAGGGCGAGAGGGCGTGGTCTGAACTGTGTCCGGATGAGGGGCGCGAGGGCGTGGCCTGAGCTGTGTCCGGGTGCGGGGCGCGAGGGCGTGGCCTGAGCTGTGTCCGGGTGAGGGGCGCGAGGGCGTGGCCTGAGCTGTGTCCGGGTGAGGGGCGCGAGGGCGTGGTCTGAGCTGTGTCCGGTGAGGGGCG